TCACTGCTATTCCCGGAGAAGACATTATCCACGATCAGCAAAAGAATCATGATCGGTGTGAACATGTGCGCCGGAACGTCGATCTGTTCGATGCCAAGCTTGTGGGAGGATGGAACAAGGCGCACTGCAAACACCAACTAAATAGTGGTCATGGCAAATCACGAGAACGGAGTCTTTTCGCAAATCATAGGGTTGGTCCGCATGCACTAATATACAGGGCAGAGAACCGTTAAAGAAGAAGAAGAAGAACAATAGCAGCCATCCCAGCACTCCTGGACGACGGCACCTTGGTTTACTCAGAAGAGATGAAGGTAGATTTGCTGGCTGTACATTACCACGCTGTACGAGAATAAGACAGGCGATACCACTCTGCCCGTACCAACTAGCACATGCTCCATGCTTTTTGACGAGATAACAGAAGTGGTGGTATTCGCGGTTTTACAATCGATCAAAACCAACCGGTCTCCTGAAACGGATGGTGTCCACCTGTTAGTGGTCAAAGAACTCGCCGAGGCATGGACGGTAGTGGCGTGGCATCCTAGCTATTAGGACCTCTAAAATCGACCGATTTTCAAATGTATTTCAGAAATATTAATGTCCAATTCAGCTGGATTGGAACAGATTTTGCTTTTGGCTGGTTCCGAGTGAGCTGTTAAAAGTCAATTTGTTTTAATTAACCTAATTGTTTTTGTCCGGAAAGTATAAATACCGCAACCTAATGGTGACGATCACTTCCACGCTCATACCAACCATGGCTCATGTTGACGATACGGTCGTTTTTGATGGTGAAACATTACTATAGATCGCTGGACGGATTCTTGGAAGACTCCCGTGAATTCCAAAGGGTTACCTACACTGCATCTGTCCATGCATCAATGGCAGTCGAACAACTGATACAGGAGAGAAAATTTGGTCGAAAACTGACTGTGCCTGAGGGTTTTCTGTACTATTTCATCAAATATTGCTGTGTACATCATCGAAGGCGCGGTGCAACTGCAACCAGGTAATTATGCCTCTCATTTCTAATGTATTTAACCCGTTTTAGGCTGCAAAATATCTATTGTCCAGCATTCTTTGGAATTCGCGCGGTCGGGAGGGAGTACCGAGTGGCGAAGCGTTCTCTGGTGTGCAACCATGACTTCCATGTGGGTTGGCGGGATTTGTATATAAGCAATCGTCGTCTATCAGGAGAACAAGAAGAGGAAGTGTGTACTTTGATGGACAATTTTAGAAGTACTCGCGAGCTAAGGGATTTTGCCACACCGGTTCCAGAGACCCTTACCTACGGCGGATATAAAATCCATACGTCGAAGAAGATCTTAGTCGGATTCACGTGGCGGTGCGGTGAAAGTTAGGGATATGCTTAAGAATCAGAGAGAGGTGAGATAGGAATGAACGAAGGCGTCGTTCGTCACATTCATTTTGTGCCTAAGTTTATGCTGCACTGCGTCAAAACATTTATTCATGGTTTATTGGTGGACATAATGCACCAGCTAAACTGTAGCGGGTGCGTACCTTGGCATACTATGCTTATGGAAAACAACGTTTTAGGTAGAATTTTATTCTACTCTATCTTACCGAAGGAGAACGGTGGGAACTACCAATATGCCGTGGGAGCCATGAGAGCTTTGTGCTCAGCCTTTGCACAATGCAAGACTATAGTATTTGATCGTAGCTTGGCTTAGTATAACGCATTTTCAGAATATTTTCCTTCCTCTAATGTAGCCCTTTGTCTTTTCAATCTGGTTAAGGATATGAAGAAAAAATTTAACCAGCT